GAGCCCACACCACCTGGGTAAAACAGGTCTTATAAGTACTCTGCACCTGAACAGCGGCCTCAGCATCATCGAATTTGCTACAAACACGGATCTCAGCTCTGCCCCAGACCTACAGAGTTAGAATCTGGTGTCACAAGGTCCACGAGTGGCCTGTGTTCACACCGAAGTCTGAGAAGGCCTGTCTAAAACACGTTCATCCTCTCTCTGTATGAGACATCACCAAGCGTTCATCTCAAGGACATAATGCAAAGACATGGGAAAATCTAAAGACAGTCGGCTCAAAGTTATTTATGATGATGGAAAAATGGAAAGTGATCAATACGGAGGCATAGATAAGCAAACAGTGACATTGCCATTCAATGGACTGATGCAATCATGGAAATTACTGTGAATTATGTAGCAATAGGAACAATACCTAGGACACATGTGAAGTGAAAAAAAGCAGAATCCCAAATTTTAGGTTCAATTACCCGCAACTTCTCCAATTATCTCTGATGATAATGTGTCTTTTGAAGGGAGCCCCCAGGTGCAAACACAAGTGTATACCTTATACTTTTTCAGCATCCAAATTAAACAAGGCAACAGAGTTGGGTTTTCTTTTAAAACAGGAATTTTCAAAAGGCACTTAAATATTTTAAAATAATAAGTAGCACTCAAATAAGCGGCAAAGCAGTGCCAACATATATTGAATGTTTAAAGTAAGGCTCTGTGAGAAACTGCATTGCCCAGGCCTCTTCTAGGTTATTTGCTATGATGAGGGGCATTAAGTGATGTACAGAGTGACGCAAAGTAGCCTCCCTCAGCCACCATCCTAGTGAGCACAGTGGGTTCCTTATTTCCCATCCTCATCCACTTTCTTCTGTCCCTTCTGTTCACTGACACTCTCCCCTGAGGTATCAGTGGGAGGGGAGGCTGGACAGTTGGCCCCGGTGGGGACTGGCCTCACCTGAGCTCTTACTGGAGGCGTAACAGACTTCAAATGAGACAGCTCGGCGAGTGCACCCCCCTAATTACATGGAATGTAGCGAGCACAAAGAACCGCCCTGGGGCTTTGCAGGGTTATGGATGAAAATCTCTAAGATCTCAGTCAGAGCGGCAGCCTGGGTGTTGCCAAACTGGCATCTCTTGGGAAAAGGAACAGAAAAAGAAAAAAATCAACACA